TTGGAATTCAGATTTCCAAAAAATCCAAACCAAGCACTGGCGTACGTCGGGCCATAATCGGCCTACCTTGGCTCACCTGTCATCTCTTACCAGGGATTATATACATTAAAACAACGATTATTACTATCGCTTCCATTTTCGAACTTGATTAAAAGAACATTGAAGACAATTGTTAAAGATATTATTCAATGAATTAAAAACATTTAGTAAAAAAAAATATTACGAATTATATTTGAATTAATGGCGATGGATAGTGCTCAACAACAGATACATTGGAGAGAAAAAAAAATCAATTCAGTCGATTCATTAGCGAACAATTGAAGAAAAACATAGTTACGTACATACACACACACACACACACACACACACACACACACGTACGGAGACGGTCTAAAAATAGCATTTTTGGATTTTTTGGATCATGATGGGTGTATATGATAAAAAAAACAGCACCGTAAAATTGAAGTTTTACAACCCAGGTAAGAATTGACGATAGAAACAGGGCTCATCAAGCCCTGGACCAAGGCTCGGAAATGCTCAATCAGGGCTGGGGCTCAGCCTTGGATCAATCCTCCTTCAGCCCTAAAATGATAACTTCGTTTCAGGCTTAGTCCCTAAGGCTTGAACGAGGCTCGGTGCCAAAGCTTGATTCAAGCCTTGAATTACCACATTTTAAAGGCTCAATCGAGCTTCGGCTAAATAAACTGGAGTATTGTTTACAGATATTTATATAAACAATTTCTTATTGCTTCATAACCCTTTTTATGAATTTAGAGTAACCTATGAAAGAGAGTGCGGTCGGACCGTACATCACTGTTCCTAAGCGTTGTTGGTGATTGTGGGTTAATTAACAATGGATGGGAAAAAAATTATTATCATCATTAGTTTCTATTAATTATTCATCCTGGATTATTATCGCGCACCTGGAAATTGAAATACAATGAAATCAAACATTTAAAAATTTGCTCCTCTGCTGGGGGAGTTCGATCCGGGGTCCTTCTGATCCGTAGACAAGCGCGCTATCCACTGAGCTAACTGCGATTTCTTAGGATGATACATTTTTTTCGGGTATAAACATTCAAATTGTGTTAGTGTTATTTTGTTGATATCCTAATTAAACTTCCTGAACTTGAATAAATGATAGGTCCGATGGATTTATGAGTTCAGAATCGATTGATTAATTAATTATAGATAAGGATAATAATAATTATGTAGCCTCGTGCACAAAGGGCTGCTCTAGGCTTGGTCTGGGGGTAGCTTAGATAATTTGGCGGAAAATTATAGCTATGTTTGTAGATGATAATAATGTTTTCACCACCATTAGCTAATGAGTATTGATATAAAAATTGAGGAAATTAATCGAAAGTAACTTTAATTTTCGAGGCCTTGCTGAGCCCTGAATAAGCCTTGACGTACTCAGCCTGAATACTGAAAGCCTGGACTAGGCCTGGATTGAGCCTCGTCAATGGCCCCTTTAATCATCCTCATTTGAAGCTCAAGTGAACGATGAAACCAAGCCTATCCCAGGCCTGAATAACTGAGCCTCGCCAACCCTGAGTTCATACAGGCTTGTTCTCATCGTCAGCTTATGTAATTCTTACCTGGGAAAGCTTCCATTCGGATGCAAAAATGTAATAATCGTAAAATCCTCTCCTATAGTATATTTTAATGTATATAATCCCTGGTAAGAGATGACAGGTGAGCCAAGGTGTACGTACGCCGGTGCTTAGTTTGGATTTTTTGGAAATCTGAATTCCAAACATATCGTTGGATATTATGCTTCAAATGAATTCCTATATAGTTTAAAATGATAGTTCGAATACCGCACTTCGTCGGATGTAAAGAATAATTACGATAATTACTATATGGGCTAATCTAATTTTTCTGACTGCAGCATTCTTTTTAATTTTACATGATAGAATAGTGGAATATAATCCTCTTAGTGGAGAAGTGAGAAAAATGATGTAAAAAACGAATTTGTAATGAGTGTTAATTGAATGAATAAAACATTATTTACTGAAAGAATGTTTAGTATTATTTACACAACCCAATATTATTTTTCAAATAATCTAACATAACTTTAATATCAATTTTCAAAGTATATAAGTATCCTATAATGGATGATAATGGCAACTCGGAATTCACACCACTCGCTTCTCCCTCGGTCTTCTTTTGTATTTCTTTCTTCGTTATCAATTCGTCTTCCAACCGGATGATCAAATCCCTTAGAGCTCTATCAATGATGTTCGTCTTCGAATCCATAAAACTTTGCAGCGTCTGGAATTCACCCTCATTCCACTTCTCTCGTAAATCAGCGAGATTCCTCTCAAGACTCAACACGTCACGCACCAAATCGCAAGCGTAATCTAGAGGTTTATCACCAAATTGTTGTTTCATGAGATCATCAAAATCTGAATAATAGGGGGGAACACTGTACAAAAATTGTAACTCGTCTGGTGTCAAGTCTTCCATGATGACAACTAAACCGATGAATTTAAATGTCATTGACTGTAACTGAAAATTTCCCCCACTCCTGAGCATTACTCCCACTACTGCCGTTCACCACTCACCTCATACCCCTCACCCCATAATCACCACGCACACCCTTTATTCCATACCCCCCACGCACACCCCTTACCCCATAACCCCTCGCACACCCCTCACCCCATAACCCCCTCACACACCCCTAACCTCATACTCACAACCCCTCACCCCACCCCTCCGCGCCCCGCCTGCTCGCGACTACCCGCCGCACACCGTTACGTCATCAGCGAACTGGCTGGCCCAGAACCGGCCTTATATAGCTATTTCGCATTTCAAAATGTCCCGAAAAAATTGGGGATTATTATTATTTATCAAGAAAAAAGAGAATCAATTGATTTTCGGCGGGCCCCTGTGTAACAGTGGAATTTGAAAAATTAAAACCTATGAAAAAGGGTTATTACTCATCTTCACAGTACTGGCGTATTTTTTTCGAATAGTAGATGAAAAACGAAAAAAATGGTTTTTCATTCATTAAAATCCGTCAATTAGTTCGCGAGATGATTTTTCAAAAATTTGAGCTTTTGACACATGTTGTAGACAAACAATTGATGTTGAGGGAACAAAAATTTATGGAAAGTATGTACTTACGTAGTATCTGACTGTGAGCATGTCAATTCAGGATTCTGAGAACCAAAAAAATTCAGGGTGGCTGAGTTGACATGGAATGTCCCATATATTGAATTTTATGAAATGACCATGTGATGGTTCGCGATGGCAACCCCTGAAACCGTCTTATCACGAAGGTTCAGGTATCCGTATATGAATGCATTGATATCATATTATACTCCTGGCTTATTAGAACAAATACATGAACACTCATGTACATATTTTGATTAACACTACTACAATGCGAGATAATAAAATCGCTTTGCTGCACTCGCAAAGTCTGTTTCAAAAAATCTGCGATACATTCTCAACGTCTCCCTCTCTTTTTCACCAGCAGGAAGATTATGTTTGTGAAGAAGCTATTTTCAATAAAACGTATATAATTTTGAATTTTTCGCTCTCGTAAAAAGCGGAAAGGGTAAATATTGAGTTTGGAAATATACAAATTTTGAAGATGATAAATTTTCGAGCCTTTGAAAAGAAACATGGAGAATGTTCAAGTGTGAATGAATCCATGAGTGAAAAACGTAAGCTGCGTAAGTAACTCGCTTGACGATGGACACGGTTACAGATTTTCGCCGGCAATTTACGGTACACTTCTTCGAAATTTTTATCACGTTATAGTTCCACTGAAAATACGAGGAATTTAGTCATTGACTACTGATGCGATTGAACCCATCTTCAATACGAAACATTGTTATCATGAGAGGAAGATTCTGTACAAATTTCAAGTTGAGATTTCAATTTTTGCACAAGCTAGAGTGTTTACACAGTTTTTTATAAAAAAAACGGCAAAAACAGAAAAACGCAAATAACTCGAAAACTTTAGGTAAATGTTAAGAAACAGGGCCCCACCACCGAACCGATGATTAAGTTTTCAGAAAAATCGTGGTGAGGCCCTCATCTTTCTTAACATTTACCAAAAATTGAAATCGGTCCACTAGTTTTGAAGATATTTGCGGAAAACTATTTAAAAACGAATCGCTTTTTCTTCAAAACACATACAGACATGGCCGCCAAACTTCGTATTTTTACGTTTCAGACTATTCTACATAATTTCCAATCGAAATAAGAGAATGTGAAAATCGAAGAATTGCAATGCTTCCATTCGGAAGCAAAAATGACCGAGTATAAAAATGACGGTCAGATTACATATAGATAGACGATTTTTTAGCATAAATGTCAACGAGAAAAAATTACTAAGTTGTACCGGTTGTAAGTTTACCGGTCAGGTTGCATCACGAAGTATGCGTCAAGTCAGAAATGGTCAGAAAACGGTAAATTTACAGCTGGCTTGACACATCTAAAAAATTGCCGTCATTTTACATCCCTAGTGAGAACAGCATTATTGTTTATCAAATTACATAACGCAGTCATGAGCTTCTCATACAAAAATCTCTATCTTTATTAAACTCACGTACTAGTGTATTATGTTGAATACTTATTCCTATTGATTCATGTTCCTGACTAACTTCTGATAGAACCTGGGTTAAACTCTGGCGAAATCCTGAATATGTCTGGAATAAATCCCGGCTATGCACTGATTAAACCTTGTTTGAACACAATATAAACTTATTTAACAGAGCGAAAGAATATGCAAAATTGTGATGACATTTCAATCGATCATAGTACTATAACAGGAAAAAATCAAAGCAGAGAATAGTGAAATAGGAATTTTAAAAAAGAAAACCCATTCGGAAGCAAGTTGCTAATTATTAGCAACAATAACCATACTCATTTATGAAAAAATCCAATTGTTCACTCGTTTATAGGTCGTTTGAATGTCATGATTAGATTACAGCGACACCACGTTGACATTGGACAGACTTCCAGTTTCTGCCGCTGAGCAACCGAGTGAGAGCCATGTTTTGCGGCCCAGTTTCATTGGAATAATGAGTTTTATTTTGAAACGTCTAAATTCTGAACAAACCATTGTTCTTGACCGAGAATGTGTATGTTTCATTTGTTTATTATTGGAATGATTATTTTGTTTTAAGTTCGTTGCGAGCCAAGTTTACTGCGCATCGGGAAATTTTGAGGTTAACTTGTGTTTTTTTTCAGTACACCTGTGGACGCGATAAAAAAAATAACATTGTGTGCCTTAGCCCAGTGGTTTCACGGTCTCACTGCATATTTGTCCATAAAGATGATGGACTCAACATTTTTGATTTGGGGGTAAGGACAAATTCGATGGAATCATTTGGTATTTAAATGTTTAATTTTTTTTTGAGGATATGTTGGAGTCCGAGGTGGTTACATGAATTTTTGTGAAGAGATTTTTTATGAGACAAAGGGGAACTTACCAAAAAGGCCCTAATGTTAACACATTCAGTTCTGTTAAAATAGAAAGTAATCGACGTTCTCATTTCTTTTTATTCCTTTACCACTGGCTGATACAAAACTTAATTCCAACATCAGTTGATTCCGTTAACATTGAATGTCAATTAATTTTTCAATTTGATATGGAAATGGAATCTCTAAAAATTATGAAAATTTAATTGAAAATTATGTTTCAATTCGTTCAAAATTCAATTCAATTTGAAGAATTTTTACGAAAATTCTCAGCAAACGCTCTTCAGATTTCAATGAGTTTATGGATTTTCTGATTTTTGTTGAATATTAATTCTGAACTTGAAAAAAATCCAAACTTTCTTGCTAATTTGTAAAACGACATTATAATTCCCATTGATTTTATGACTGAATGTTTTATTATAATTCTGCAGTGCTGTAGAAAACAAGAAAATTTCATTTGTCGAGGCTAACCATACTCATTTCTGTTTTCAAAATTATAGTATTCTTGCCAAAAATTTTCAGAAAATTTTCACATTTTCTAAACAATTTAACATGAACGAAGAGAAAACATGAAAAATATGGATTTATTTGTCAATAATTTACAGCCAAAACCTGAAAATTCAAAGGCGTGACTTGAATTTGAATAATTTTTAATAGTTAAATCTTTCCTTTTCACAATTAATTTGAAGATGCAACTATTCATTAAATGCTCCATATTTCTTACATATGAGGAACTCCTATGATTTTGGATTCTTGACACGAAGGGAAATTCAATCGTCCGCTCGAATGGATTTATTTTTAAGAATTTTTAATTTCCGAAATCCCAATTTCCTCAACGAATTTGAAAGTTCAAGTCTACATAAAAATTTCCAGTCTTGTTACATTGGAGAAATTCTAATTACCTTAAATTCTCAAGAAAATTAGAAATCAAATGGAACTAAATGAAGAATTTCGTTTCGAACACAATTCAAATTCAGAATTGTTGTATCTGTTTAGTGTATTTCAAAAAAAAATTTAATAGCCCTAAATAAAAAATTGAATGATTCAAGCCACAAAAATATGCGAAAAGCTTTCTCGGCACATCAGAAACACTTGACCAGTAATTTTTCTTTTTCCAGAGTGCAAACGGGACATTTGTGAATGGCTTAAAAATCACCCCAAAAGTCTACATCACCTTAAGCCCTAATGACACAGTTGGCATTGGCTGTTTCAAAGTCGAATCCTTCGAAAAACAGGATTTCGTATATCTTCTTCAACCCTGTCCAGATGATTTACCTAAAAAGAATTCTGGTCCCAGCACGAAACGTAAACTGGAGACTGACTCCACTTCGAGTGTGCCCAGAAAGGTAATAAGAGTTGAGGATCCAGTTGTTATTAGCATCGAGGACAACAGTCTCTCTGAGGAGAAGAACTCAAAAAGTCAAAATGGAGTAGAACCATCAAGTGCTTTACCCAACGGTTCCAAAGATTCTCAACCTACCACAAGTGCAGAATCGGTTTCACCCCCGAAAAGCAACAAAACACCTCGAATGATCGAAGATTATGATTCTTATGGAGATTCGAGGGAGCTCATAAAGAAGAAGCGAATATGCAAGAACACTTCAGTGGATTTAACAAAATCAGTGGAGAATGGAGTGGAACTGATGAGCGGACATCATTCCACACCACTTCCCAAGGGGAAAGAGTCGCCAGTTCTTATAAAATACGAATTGGACATCAAAGATGATGACTCCCAGCCCTGTGCTCCCGCTCCTCCCGTTCCCCCGGTGGATGAACTTTTGGCCCCTGCCGTACCCAAAGACGAGCCCAGACTCAGCTACTCGCAGATAGACTGTGACGACTTCATTGACGACGACGAGGACATCTTCTCCCAGAAATCTGTTTCATCAATCCACAATACTCCGGACAGGAGTAACACTGAAGATTTAAATCTGGAGAATAAAGATAAGCATTCTGACTCTTACACTGACTTATTCCACAGTCAGGAGAAAGAACCAGACATCATCACACTGTCTGACGATGATGATGATGAGGAGAACAACCCTTGGCTGATGAGATTGTATCAGAGTCAGATTCTCAATGAAAGTCAAATTAAGGAGGAAGAGCCTGCTGAGCCTGTACACCTGAAAGCTGCTCTTGAAGATCTCAATCGTTTGGATTTACCTGATGAAGTTGAAGATGAGGAAAAGGATAATATTGGAATTGATGAAGAGATGGAAGAAAGACTTCCAGAACCTGACAAATTGAAAGAAGTTTCGAGAGATGCTACTGTAGCCATTGAAGAACCGAAGAAGACTAAATCAAAATCGTCAAAATCATTATCGTCAAGAGATTCAAAGTCATCGACAAAATTGAAAACTCCAAAAGAATCTAAAGAACCTGCGGATTCAAAAAGATGTAGCGAATCTAAAGATTCGAAAAAGTCTAAAGAAAGGAGGAAAAGACACGAGAAATCTAGCAAATCAAGAGTCAGTATATCTAGTCACGATGATCACTCTGATGACTCTGAACGTAAGAAATATAAAGAAAAGTCAGAGAAGAGATCAAAAAAAAGGCACAGTGGATTTGTAGAAAAGCTTTCAGTAAAATCTTTCTACAAATCTTCATCAAAATCCGAGGATGAGAGTGAGAAAAGAGTTTCATCATTCGATGAGCCATCGACATCCAAACGAGACAGCACGGAATCATTAATTTCCAGGAGATTGAGCTTTGAAAAATCCCCCCTGGAGTCAAAACACGTCAAGAAAATTCCGCAGATCGATCCGCCATTCCTCAAGAAAGGAGAGAGACGAGGAGTCAGTTATGGAATTAAGAAGCTCAATTTCTCGAATGAAGGTGATGCTTCTTCAACATCATTAGGTAATGCTGATGATCTTGATGGAGATTCTAGCGATTTCCGTTCAATCGTATCAAAACCTCGGAAACTAACAGCCAAAGAGAAGAAGGAATTAGCTAATCAGGAGAAAATCATAGACGTCATCTACAAAAACGAACAGAGACGACGAAGACTAACACACAGATGGGCAGAGTGTCTTCCTCCAAGAGAACGCCGACGTTCATCCCTCTCTAAATCCCAAAGAGAGGAGATAAAGCACGACCGCAAGGAGAAACTGAAGAGGTTAGCAGAAGAGAAGAAGAAGCAATCATCAAGCGACTTGCCTGAGAAGAGAGCTTCCAAGCCAAAAGCCAAGGTCTCCAACAAAACTCGTGGGGACTTTCTTATCACAGACCAAGAGGAGGAAGCCAAGACCGACTCTACCTCCAAGAAATCCCCCAAAATCCTCACGACGACTGAAACCTCTATCACAAAGTCAAAATCCAGCAGTCCCGAGCTCCCGAAAATTCCCAAAACCCTTGGTGATAAAACCGAGAACGAAGTTTCCTTAAAACCCATTATAAGATCTCCAAGAAAAATTAAACTAATCGCATCGATTCCAGAATCAACTTCAAAGAAATTGACTTCAAAAGAGATCAAACAGATCAAAGAATCGAGTATTAAACTTGTCGACATCTGCGCTGTCACGAAGATAGCAACGAAAAAGGATAAAGAGAAGGAGAATCGTGCACCGAATGATTCCAAGAAGAAGGTCAGCTTCAACACTGATGAGCCTGAAGTTCGAGTTTTCCAGATTGATCCTGGGAATACTCTCAAGAAGTGTGTTCAGAAGGATGCCTTACTCCCTCAGAAATTCTCGAAACCTGCCAACCAGCCTTCCAATCCAGTGATAAACAATCCAAAACTTGAGGAGTTCCTGCTGAGACTATTTAACTGGAACCCAGCGTGGCTGAAAGAACAAATGGTCATCAAAGAACCTCCCCCAGTCGTTGACTATAACTCCCTGAAACCCCTCCTGTCTGCCTACAGCTCCTACGACGACTACTACAGAATAACGGCTCCATTGCTAGCCCTAGAACTCTGGAACGGGCTATCTAAGGACTTTGAAATGAACGAGCAGAGTTTAAGACATCCTCCTATCATGGCGTGCATTACCCCCGGCACCATCACCAGACAGCCTGTCCCCAACACGAAACTCCTAATCACTACGTTCTTACTGCAGGCAGTCGTGAGCAGAGAACAGATCAGCAGCCAGCAACATCCAGTCATGGGGGATCTCGTTATCTTCAGGATTGGCTTTCAAAAGAACGAAGCCAAGCAGTATCATACGATCTTCGCGTATGTCTCCCAGGTAGATCAAAGGGTCATCACCCCCTTCACAAAGTACAACAAGGACTTATTGAAACACGTCCAGAATCCTCACACTCTGCTAACGTACTCCATGATGACAAAACCCTTACCTGTTAACGTGGGGGTTGACGACGTCCAGAAGTTGATGACAGTCAGCTATCTTCGATCAAGCATGAGGATGATTCAAGCTCTTCAGTACTTACCCACATCTCCTCTCCTCAAACAAATCCTCCAGCCAACTGTTGACCAGTATCAGCTTCCCACTGTTGAAAATTGCGATTCCTATTCTCTAACAACTAAGGAAAAGCTCAATGCCAAGCAAATGGAAGCGGTGATGAAGATCACTGAGACTGTGGTAAAACGAATTCCGAAAATCTGTATGATCCAGGGTCCCCCTGGCACGGGCAAGTCGAAGGTGATCGTCAATGCTGTGACGGAAATTCTTTATGGGAATAATAGGTATCAGCATCACAAGCTGACAAGGATCCTCGTTTGCGCTCCATCCAACGCAGCAATTGATGAGATTGTTCTAAGACTGATGGACATTAGAACGAATCTCCCTAAAGACCAACGATTCAAAATGGTGAGAATTGGAAAGCAGGAGACGATGCACAAGTCAGTCAGATCCATCTCCGTCTCTGAACTTGCCAAGCGTGATGTAGAGAAGACAACAGCTGAGTACTGCAACCACCAGAATATGGAGAGCATCGAGGAAGAAAAGAACTTCCTGAAGGCCAGAATCAACGCTATCGAGTCAGAGCTAGAGTATTCCAAAAATAAAGACGAAAATTGTAGGCAATATATTTTGAGAAAATTAACTGGAGTGAGGCTGAAATACGAATTATTGACTAATCCTCGTAATAGTGAGAATGGAATCAATCCTAAGCAATTAATTAAGCTCCAGAGGTCAGCTGAAAATACAATTCTATCTGGGGCTGATGTCATCACCTGCACTCTGTCTTCCTGCTATACGAATCAGATGGAAGCAATCTTCGGTGGAAATAAGGATAAGATATCAGTTTGCATTGTGGATGAAGCTACTCAGAGTGCAGAGGCTGAGACCTTGATTCCTCTGATGCTAGGGGTAAATACTCTGGTGCTCGTTGGAGACCCTAATCAACTGCCTGCCACTGTGATATCTCAAGATGCCAAAAAATTGGGGTTGGATCAATCACTATTTGCGAGGTTGTACAATGCATTTGATGGTCAGCCTTCTAACCCAGTTATCGTACTGGATACCCAGTACAGGATGTCGTATCCAGTTGCTTACTGGCCGAATCGTTATTTTTATGCTGGAGCTTTGAGGAACGCTGCTATTTTGAGAACACTGCCATTCCATTTTTATAGAGTTATTAATTTGGCTTCCACACAGAATAATGATAGATTCTCAAATACTAATGAGGCTATATTTATTACTAATATTATTCATACAATGATGACGTATTCCAAGCTTGAGGGGTTCAATGGAATATTGAGGGTGGGTATTATCACTCCTTACAATAATCAGAAGATCATTCTTAATGCCAAGATCAGGGATGTCATGTCTGGGATGGCAGAGAATATTCGAAAGAAGATTCAGATTGAGGTCAACACTGTGGATAGCTTCCAAGGGCAGGAGAGGGATGTTATCATTATGTCCTGTGTCAGGAGCTCTGGGATTGGATTTTTATCAGATCGGCAGAGGCTGTGTGTTGCCTTGACAAGGGCGAAACACAGTCTCTTCATCTGTGGCAACTTCAGAACTTTCGAGAGGGATGACATGTGGAAGACACTGTTAGCTGATGCTAGGTCACGTGGAGTTCTCGTCGACGTGAATTATGCGGCTGGGCCAAATGTTATCAAGGGACACATTATGAAGTGATTACGTTGATTTTTCTGTTGTACATATGTGAATAGTTTAAATATGAATTTTTTTTTTACTTTTCCTTTTTGAAATAACGTGCTGTTATTGAGCTAAAATGCACAAATTATCCAAAACTTTGATAGATTCTTGCGAGTGCCGGGAACATTATTGATTATTATTGCAAAAAATGATAATAAAAATATGAGGTTTTTTCAACTGAATAGTAACTACTTTATTTATTTGTTATAGAATATATATTTTCTCGTAATTTAGTTTTAATTAATCGATGGAAAAATAAATGCTCCTGAGGTGGATCTCTTTACACATCGATGATAAAAATCACAATAAAATTCTCTATAAACTAGGTCATTTACACATATGTACATAATTAAATTTAATAATTACATCGGGGTAGGGTAACGATAGGGAAATGGATGACGAACAGTCAAAGAAAAATGTCTTGAAAACATTTTTGTGAGTAATTTTGTGGATTACGAAAGAGTTTTCTTGACATTTTTCAGTGAACCTGGAGGGTCTAGAGATGGTCACAAATTTATGTAGATTAAATTTTGCAGAAAAAAATTGTGAAGGGGAGATTCGTAAATGATTTTGTAAATATTTTCCATGAATTTTGATGAATTTTACCAAGAATTTGTGGGAAATTTTAAAAAAAGCTCTTTTGAAATTTCAAAAATATTCACAATTTTCTCTGACTGCAATTTCTTTCTGCAGATTATTTTGCAGATATCTCTGTAGGCAAGAGGTTTTTAGGAAATCACTAAGACAACATTTTGTATAAAATTTCACCATATATTGATATATTGTTTTCAAGCCAATAGCTCCAGAGATATTTGCAGAATTATGCGAAGTAAATTTTCAGACTCATCTCCTCTCACCATTTCGCTACAGACTTGCTGCTGGATTTTTTCTGTCTGTACACATTCATTATCTATAATCCATTGATAATCAAAACCAATTAAGAATCAAAGGGGTTGATTCGTCAGTTGATAAAAGAAATAAATAATATTTTACAAAATAAAATTGAAAATGAAAATTGATTCATAAAATTCCATCAGCGTTTGACGACAGTTGATTGATTTCTATAAAAAGTTATTATCAAATTTATCGTTTCGTTCTTGTATAAAAATCTCATTTGCTGTAGAATAAGGCAGTGATTGCTATTCATCGTATTGCGTGGTAAATCAATTTTCTAGATTATAGTATAAATAAAACATGAAATGTTTGATGAACAGTTGGATACCTAATGCGCGATATTACAACAGTCTGTCAGTGCTCTCCTGGCATATAAATTGTCCCAAAATACAGTAATTTATTCGAAAAATATTTGTTTCTAGTCTCAATAATGATTCCTCCAAAGGCTCAATCCCAGGGACGTTATCACGGAAATCATTACGGGGGACCATCTGATTGTCACCGTTGATGACGAGGAGCCGGTGCTTCTTGGTGGAGTTCTTGTTGGTTCCACTGAAAAAGAAAGATTTTATTTTTAGAAAGTTGTATCATTGTCGAACAATGCAGGTAAGTGATTGAAGATTCACTGCTTTTTATAATTTTCTTACAAATTTTGTTCTCGAGTCATGCAAAATTTATTCTTTCAATCATCAAAAATTTAGAAGAATAGTTGCAACAGTTCAAAAATGAGTCAAGTTCACATACACGTACAAATTACTCAGAAAATATCATAGAGAACCAAAGCAAAGATGTGAGATGTGACTATTAGTTTCAGAAATATTTATTTATAAAGCAGTCTTTATACCATGTATGGACCACAAATAATCCAAAACACATTTTAAGATCATTTTGCGACGATTTTTGAAGGGAAGTAAATTCAGAGAAATTAATTTAACGACCTTTTTGTAAAAAGTCGCATCGCCTACAAATAAAGTCTCTTGGTGTTTTTATTTCTATTCCCCAAGAAAGGTCTAAATATTTATCTTTAAAACTCCTAGTATGAGAGATATTTTTAAAAATAATCACTTAAATTCCTCTATTTTCCCACTTCACCGAATAATTATCCATTAAAGCATTTCCTTGTGAGTATATATATATATTTGTATATAAATATATACAAATACAAATACAAATATATACAAATATAAATAAGTATCGAAAAATTTGCTGCTGTTTGAAACACTCCCGATACCCGACAAAAAAATCAAAATTGAAGAATAGTAAATTTGGCTTTGAGAAAAGAAGAATAGGAAAAGTTTTGATGTTAAATGTAATTATGAAACAAGATCCTACTTGGTATCCTGGAATGTGGAGGCGACGTAATTCTCATGATAGGATCATGTGGAATGAGTGGTTTTATGGGTACCGGTGCAGGACTCGGTGAATTACCATAGCATTGTCCTAGAAGCAGATAAAAAGTACTTTAATTAGAGAAACATCGAATAAACCTTAATTAAATGCTGAAGAGAATATACATACCTTTCTTGTAAAGACGCATTCCTTCTCTACGTGGATCGATATCTCGGAGACAATGATCTCCAGCTTCCTTTATGTAAATTTCCTCATCGTTCACGATTAGACCAACAAAACACTCGTTTGTGCTTGTATCGTTTCTCATGGTATAGGTGTACATTACTCCTAGCTCTTCCCACTGGCCGAGGCACAGGTATTTGCGTTCTTGAAAAATTTCAATTTATTTATATTTTATTTTCAATTTTCTTAATAAAAGAATCATAAAATAATTCAAGATGACACATCAAAATTTTTGATGATAAATTTGCTCAACTTGAAAACATTTCCCAATATTTTTCGATAAAGTCACTCATTCTTTAGATAAATCTTTATTAGCAAAATTCGCTAATAAAGAATGACTAAAAGATGAAAATACTGTAAAATACTCTACAAATATTTTGAAAATATCTCTTAAATTATTAAATTTACAGAAACATGTCAAGAGACTTAAAATGTTGAGTGCCATATACTCTAAACAAGTTCTGTTGACAAATTCTTCGAGACCTCTTCATTATTTTATACAGGTAGAAATAATTGAATAGAGAACCAGTGTAATTGCTACGAAATTGCGTTGGCTTTTCGTCGATTTCATTGAGCAATTACACACGTTTTTTTCAAAATAGAAATAGTGATTGATGGATATTTAAAAGAAAAAGATCGTAGATGTTGATTTTTCTATACAATTCATTCTCCTGTAAAATCCTTAAATTAAACCAGAAATTTCTACAGAAACCGTCTCCACTGAAATTGCTTACGAAGTTCAACATCTCTTAATTATTTCTAAAAAAATATAAAACATTTTTGTCTAATAAAATCGTCGAAAAAAACAATAGAATTTTTAATCGAATTCCACAAGGGTTTTCTCTTAAATTTCTTCGTGCATGTACATTAAGAAAAAAATACCTAAAATCATAAAAAAATTTCTTGAGTCAAAAGAATAAATTTTCAGTGCGATGATTGCATGAAGATATATAGAACATTCCATATCAATTCAGCCACCTTCATTGTTTTAGTCTCATGAACATTAACTGATATATTCAAGATCAAGTACTGTATAAATAACCAATTTCTGTAAATGTTTATCGTCTTAGCACCCGTTTACCTAATACTCACGATAATAGCTCAAATATTCAGAAATCTATTTTGCATGCAGATAAGGGGGTTTGAGAAATTATAAAACGATTCTTTTTGTTTTTTGTTTCAAGTAGTGCTCGAATACAAATACTCTAACATCGCAAAAGTAATCATTAGCATATGTATTATTTTTTTTCTTTCAAATTAAATTTTCAGGCAAGAGCTAATTGAAAATTAATGAATTTTTGTCTTCAGAGAAGAAGATTTAAAAATCTGACTGGTCAATAGCCATGAAATGTCAAATATATGAAATCATCTGTAAATGTTTTAGGAATATACCTTCATAGAGCTCCCCAGACTCGCAGTCGGTGACCTTATAATACATGATCTCTTTTGTGAAGCAGTTGCTGCTCAATTCGGCACACGTGCCCGGTAGATCAGGTATTTTTCCTACGTAGTGGCCAGTGATGGGACAGGGAGATTCCACGACGCGCTCTAGCCCTGCGTGAGACGAATGTATATTTTCTTTTTAATTTTGTGGAATTATGTGAGGGGAAAAATTAGGAAGTGGAAGTTCGTTGTTTTGCATGAAACTCACGAGCTTGTGTCATCCAGTCGGATTTGTCCAAATGTGGATCATCGCAGAGATAACTACCGTACACAGGATTGGGGACTGTGCCTATTTTGAACTCCAGTACATTTTCACTACGCTGGCGCATCATGAGGCATACGTAAGCTTCTTGTTCACTAAAAGGAATATTAACCTAAATTAATAACTCGACATATTTTTCTATTTCGAATGACAGATCGTTTTTGCTTCCGAATGGAAGCATTGTAATCGTCCAAATTTTATGTTTTAGATTTGTTGGGTTATATCGACCCATTATGATCCAAAAAGTCCGAAAATGCAATTTTTAGACCGTGTGCGTACGTATGTGCGTATGTATGTATGTACGTATGTGGTAAAGCTTTTCTTTAATTATTCGCTAATGAATGGATGGAATTGAATCTTTTTTTTTTTTCAAATGTAGCTATTGTTGAACCCTATCAATCGCCATTAATTAAAATTCAATTCATCGATTAGTTTTTTTAATTTTTTAATTTTCTCGAAAATCCATTGTCCTACGATAATTAAATAGATGTTCTAAATTAATTGAATAATGGCTTAAAAAATTGGTTTGGATGTCCCTTTCATCGAGTTCGAACATGAAGGCGATAGCAATAATCGTTATTTCGATTTATTCGAAAATTTTCTCAAATTTTGTATTTTTTTTAAATCCAAATTCCGGGGATATCTTTCAATATCATGCTTTAAATGAATTCAATCGTAGCTTAGAATGTTTGTTTTAATGTCATTAAGTCAAAGTTAAAAGATGATTATGATAGCTGTATTGGTTGAATTGATTTTTATGATGATTGTTGAAAATTTTGAATTTTTCATGAATTTCCCTGAAGGTGAGCTTTCCGATGGTTTTTTAAAATGTGATGTTTCCAATTCATTCAAGTATTTGTAAATAAAAATTTTCTATTAACATTTTATCGAAGTGCTGAAGGGAGAGATAGAACTGCAAAACAAGCAGGGGTTCGAGCCTATCCGCCAGAAGGCATGCGACCGTTACTTTTTGTCTCATTAGTCGTTTTCTTTCTTTTATTTCTACCAATTCCATTGGTAGTAAGCTTCCGAATGGATCCGTATCGATTTCCTGTTCCTAAGACAGGCACACATACGCAACCATATTAATTCTGTTTTGATGAAACTAGATATTTAATTTTTCGATAAAATGGATTTATATAAAAAATTGAATATCTCCAAAACCACTCAACCGATTGCGCCCATCCAAAATATGAACTTTTAATATTATGAGAGCTATAATCATACCAAATTTCATTTCACATTTGCTGTGCCTATTTTTCCTCAAGTTATCGAGTGTACAAGACTGAAAAACAAGGATTTTAATGAAAAGACAGAAAAAGGGGAATATCTCGAACACTTTGCATGAACAGGTATAGATGTTTTAATTGATCTCGGTAGAGGACACCAAGACGAATACTTTGAAAAAAAAGTGGAATCGGTTGCAAAGTTTTAAAGATATTCAACATAATAGATTTTCAGAAAATGGTGAATATCTCCGAAACTACTGGTGCGATTGAGCCCGTCTTCAATACAAACCTTTGTTATCACGGGAGGAAGATTCTGTCCAAATTTCAAGTCGATATCTCGAGTTTTGCACACGTTAGCGCGCGTACAAGGATTCTAATAAAAAAACAGCAAAAGGGAAAAACCTCAAAAACTTTGTATGGACGGGTATATATGTTTTTGTTGATTTAGGTAGAGGACATCGAGACGAATATTTTGAAAAAAAAAATTTTTTAATCTGTCCAATAATTTTAAAGATATTCGTGAAAAACGATTTAAAAATGAATCGCTTTATCTCAAAAACTACTCGACCGATCAAGCTGAAATTATCCACAGAGTTAGTCCTCATTAAGACCTATAATCTGACAAAATTTCAAATTTTTTTGAATGATTTTAGCCACTTAATTACTCAATTTTCTAAAAATTGACCATCGGGAAGTTGGCGGTGGACATATTCACATACAGACATGGTCGCCAAACTTCGTATTTTTACGTTTCAGACTATTCTACATAATTTCCAATGAAAATTAGAGAATGTGGAAAACGGACGATTACAAAGCTTCCATTCGGAAGCAAAAGACGATGGGTTGTATAGAAGAAAGGGGATAATAAGAATAATGATGCAGATAATATTCAACTAAGTTGAAAATCTAACAAAATTAGGTAAAAGGAAATCTTATTTAATTCAATAAAATGAAATAAATAATGAATCATACATGATAGAAGGAAATGATGTGCAAAATAACTATTCGGAAGCATATTGCTAATTTATTAGCAAAAATAGCTATACTACATACAATACAAGAGCAATTCCCCGCTTGTTTGATTAGTTTGGATGATCTCTCATTTACTGAGGCTCAGTTTTTTAGTGTTAGGTGATGGTGACAAAAACCTCTCTTCCTTAAGAGATCGTATAATTTATGATAAAAATATAGGAATTATAGTGAAATATGATTTTAAACTCGAATATTTAATTTAAAGATGCATCTGATTGTTTAGACGTTTCATATTTAAAATTTTTTACCAATAGTTTTTTATTAATTCGGTTGATAGCAGTTCAAAACAAGAAAAATTGCAACTTTCCATTCAATTCATTCTGCAGAGATTTTTGGAATTGATCCATTTAGAAGAAAAAATTAGAAGATCCATCTCATAGCTCATGAAATTTTTCTCTTTAAAAAAAGAATGTAACATTTTTTGTCATCAATCTATTCCGCCATCTTTGACTTAAGAATTATTTCATTCGAAATTTGAATATCTTTGAATTATGTATGTACGCGTTCCGATTTAAAAGAGGAGGACGAAGTGGATTCGACCCGCGACGCTTAATCATTTCTCTTACAAAAATTTTCCGTTCAATACGATAACATGAATGATACATTTTATGCCCTAACTCTTCAGTGGGAAAGCCATGAAATAGAGAATATTACTGGCCCATGGAATGACATATTGTGGCTCGGGGAAATTTCATTTCTACGAGAATTTTCGCCAGAGGGGCAATTAATTTTTACCGGATTTTCGATTGATTTCTACCGTGCTGGTATCAGATTTCTTTCATTACTGGTTATTATTTAATACAATTCAATTCTTGATATCTTTGCGTATAACCCGAAATATTAGGATTTTCAGTTGATGACAAACGTTACATTTTGTTCAATCAATCTCTATTTATCCCCCAACCCGTCATCTTAGAGTATCTCGGTCATGTATGTGATGACCACGATACACTATAAAAATAAAAATTGAATGAAGGGTAAAACAAGAGATATCCTATTATCTCTTTCATTATTTCAAAAAATCTATTATTTTCAAAAACAATATGGATAATGAATGAATATTAATCTTCTATGATGGTAACTTAGCTTATCTCGAGACACGCGCATTTCATGCGCGCGGAGTGTGCGCTCATTTCCTGGATCTATAAAATTTAACATTTGCCCTGAATCCTTTTCCCTAACAGAAAAAACCCCCATTTATTTTGGAGTTATCTCCTTTCACCACTACCCAACAGACTTGCAATTTTTATTTACCAAATTGCAAAAATAAATTCTCTCATTACTCCAAAGAAATCCTTACCAGTGATCTTTAGAATAAACCACGTATCTCCCAGTATTATCATTGGAATCAACAGTGACAAAAGTATAGCTGTGGTATCCATTCAGATCGTTGAATGTCATCGTTCCATTAACAATCAGGGACTCCTCCCACTCACCTTGCGCCCACTTGGGATACCTGTAATCATAAATTCCCATTAAAATGAAAATAGAGCAAAAAAATACAGAATAAAAAACTAATAAAAGTAGTAATTGAAGTCACGTACGATGCCAGATGTGACGAAACATAAGACGGTATTTGCTTCTGATTGGTCGCCTTGCTCAGAACAAGTGTCTCATATCCACTGGTTGAATTTTCAAGATTCTCAGTGCAGCTAGAATCACTGCTGAATGCCAAATACGTTTTCCCCTGTTTATTATCAACGTGATATAGCTATAATGATACGAATGGATCGTTAGTATAAGTGTTTGAATTACACTTTCATGTTTGAGATAGTGAGAGAGAGGAAGAGTGAGTGACACTGACCCCACATCGATATTGCGGCCGACGTTCACCCCCCACTCTAGTGTCCAATAGTGCGATATAGCGAGAGCCGTGGGGTCCACCAGGCCAGCTTCCCAGGCAAGTAAAGGTAATGTCTGGAAAATGAAATGTCTCATGAAAATTTATTCAATTATCATTAATTCAACATCGAACGATTAAACGAGAATTTGTGACACTTATTTCACTTTTATTACATACGAATATGATATTCAGGGTTTATTGAATTTTTAATCATCAAATTCGTGAATGAAATTGCCTGAGAAAAACATGCATGTGAATCATGGATAATCAATGTTCAATTAAATTGCGACAAATCAACTTATTAATACACTCCTCTCTTATGAATCAATAGAGGAGAGCGGTGTAGAATGGACACCGGGGTAAATTCGAATAATATGAAGGTGTGAAATGAAGACAGGTGTGATGAGACTTTCTGTAGTTCTGAGGTCCACCCAATCTCACTGCTTATTTTTTGTATCACTAAATTGTTTGAACTTCCGAAAACTCTTTTCTTTGGCACAACACCAATTTTCGGTAAAACTGTGAATACGAACAAATCTGTTATCATTTTGTAAAAATGAGTTTTAGGGTGGCAAATTTACTGTTTGTAAAATATTTAGACAAACGATCGTTAAATGGGTTAAAATTGTCATTTTTCCATTATACCGCGAGTTTTTTTCGAAAAATAGACTGCCTAATTTTTTTTAACTTGTTAAAATGTCTCTTAAAGGTTGAAAAGGTAGAATCAAACTTAGAATTCCAAAGTTTGAAAACGATTCCAATGAAAAAGAAAAACTTCATAATTCGAGATATTTCCAGAAATGCCAAATAATCAAGTTTTAGAGAAAGATTTTTTTACAATTATAAAATTATACTGAAGTCAAAACTGATTGACGAATAATTAAACTAATGTCCTTCAAAAGAGATTAATAATCAGCTCAGAGAAAAATTTTCAAGTACTACGAAGAAGAATTTCAAGTTTTTGCTCTCAATGGGCTAATCAAATGAAAAATTTTATTTTTTCATCAATAAAATTATTCAATGAAATTGAACAAGAATTCGTAACATCAACATCAGTTCTATACCCCGATAATTATAACTGATAACTCATCGAATTACTCGTAAACATTTTTACGACTATGTTAATCTGCAATAACTCCAGCAAGGAATTACACATGAAACACAGATAAAAAATAAAGAACGAGTAGAAACATTCAGTCCTCAATTTATCGATTCTCTTAGCAAATTAATGGGCAACAAGATCGAATTATTCCGTCTCATCCCCTTCGGAATAATCATGCCTCATGAATGCAACCCTGATCGCTATCACTATCACCAATACGATTAATACATGTTACCATTATTGGTTTTGCGGTTACGAGCATACAAATAAGACAATCACATAAGCAAACGAATACGAATTATCCACGAGTATCCGATGCTCACTTAGATCGTTCGACGAGCTGGTTCTGTTAGCACTGAGCATCGTACCATGATTTTCAAAGGAGCATCTCTTGAACTGCAGCCGAAAGATGGACCCATCTGGACAATTTTCCAAGTCTGATGAGAATGTATTGCACTCAACTTTCTCTTCGGACCCATCATTGATATCGTACTTGAAGTGATATCTGCCGGCTATTGGACAGAATTCATTTCTGATTGGAGCACCACCGAGTTCCTTCGTTCCTGCAACACAAAGATTTTCTACTATATTCAATCTAATTTCAAGTTGAATTAAATATATTTACGAGCGGTTTCTCCAATGAATTGTACAATTAATTGATGAAATAATGTAGCGTTAATGGATGTCTCTGTTTTCTACATTGAGAAAAGAATATATTTTTCTGGAATGGATCTATCTACGATTAGGAAACTTATACGTTGGTCAGTATCAAATTTATTAGCTATTTTGTGAATAATTGTAAAGATATAAATTAGCAGAAAAAATATTTGAGACTCACTTAACAATTATTCGATCTTGTAATTTATTACTATAAAAACTTGGAATCCGTATAGATACTCAATTCTCTTACCAATTGTCAATTACCAATTGAATTTTGAATTGAAAACTGGATTGATTATCCTTAATAGTTGTACATTTGTGCCGAATAAGAAATATTTTGATGTCTCCAGAAAAGGTGAAGAAAATGATAATTTTTTTGACGATTTTCAAAGCTGATTGATGAGAATGCGAATGTATATTCTTTTAGCTTGATATTCAATAATTCTTATATGAAATTGTACATGATCTCTCATGAACTTCATTGTTAAATCAATCTATGTGATAGTTTTTGAGCCTCAAACTAAAGATATTCCTATCCAATATTTTCTATAATTCATAATTAATTTAGTCCAAGGTTCACAGAATTAATTGATTTGCATTCAAATGCTTTAATATGAAATTGGATGATGTGATTTCCAGTTATTGAATTCATATTTCCATCAACGATTTTTCTATTCGGGAACATCCCTTTGATGCTTTAATTAGGGGATTTCCTCGTTGATAAATTACAGCATTGTTTAGAATAAGTAGACAATGTTTTCTAAAAAAAGATTCTAGAGAAGAATGAGAAAATGATCCACATTCCTCACTATCATCATCTTTGATCAAATGGCGTAAGAAAAGGAGAATCAATTGAGAAGAATTTTCGATGGGCATTGAGGTTTGGTCGAGAATAGGCGCCACGATCAATCATAGTTCTTCCCATGGAAAGGGTCTATCCACAAAGCATTAGTATCCAGCGGCCAGGCAGGAAGTAGCTGAAACTACACACCACATTCCTCCCTTCTTGTTTCTCACGTAAAATGGTCCCTTCCACCCACGTCTTCATATCGCCCCTTCATCTCTCAAGCCCCCCCCCCCCCCCCCCCCCC